CAGCAACGAGATATTTCTTTGAAGCAAGAAAATAATCAGGGTGGTTTTAATGAGCCTTGGAAGGAGGAATCTCTTATCAGCAGAAAATTCAGCTGTTACTCAACTCAGTCCTTCCTCGACTTCCTTATTAACCCCATCTCGTCTCTCACAAACCCTTAGTCTCCACCAAGGCCAGGGAATACTGTAGAGCAAAGACTGAGTTGCTGCCTGAAGAGAAAAGGTTGATCTGGAGACTAGGGTGAACGCAGAAGTACCCGCGCTGTTTACAACCGCACTGATTTTTCAGGCACGTTGTCAAATTAGCAGGTTTTCCTGAGAAAAACACTTGAACGAAGCTGCTGACTGAAGGGTTGAGGTTCACAGAAAAGGGCCGGGATGGGTGTCAGGGCCGGGATGGGTGTCAGGGGCAGCTTATGAAGAGGGGACACGGGGACAAGCTGGTAACCTCAGCTGAGTGAGCTGCCAGCTCTGCACCCAGTCTGGAGGTTCTGGTGGTTAATCCTTGGCATGTTTTGCTGGGATTTAGGGCAATATTATTCACTTTCAGCTCTGCCTATTTCTGCCTCTGTTGCCTCACCGCGTCCCAGCAGTGTGAATTTCTGGGTGCTGCGATGAAAGCCTGGGGTGCAGCCATGGTCTCTGGACGGGGCCTGAGAAGGTCACTTTTCTCCTCTCCTAAGACCTCCAAGAGCAGAAAATGTCCTTAACCTTATTTCTCTCCATATTTTCAAGCCTCTGTGGCCCCCAGGAAAGGGCACAGGTGACCTCCTCCACCCAAGCTCAGCATGCTCGGTGGAGGAAGCCTTGGAGAGAAGCGATGCCAATTTTAGTACAAGTTTCTGCAACAGAAATAGATATTCCTGAACGCACGCTTAAATCTTAGCAAATTATACCTCACGTTAAACTATTTATTAAAGTGCCACAGGGGAATTTCAGGCTAGCTATGTACATCGTCACAGGAGATAGGCTGACGATTACAGTAATTTGGGAAGAACATGGATTTGAATCTTAGGGCCCGTGGTGAAAGTCAATGCACGATGAGTTATTCCACTTAATAATTCATGTTCACACATGGATTCAGCTGGAGCCAAAGTATTTCTATAGCATCACATTTCTCCCAACAAGCTGCCAGGCGTAACACAAGAGCTCTTTTTGGGTTTTGGTTTTTTTTTTTTTTTTTTTTGCTTGTTCTTGGGTTTTTAATTTCTGCTTTTTGTTGCTCATCCGGAGGCAAATGCCAATGAAACGAACTTGTTCACCTGCTGTGTGCAGTAACCACAGAGAGGGAGTATTTCTTTCTGCCCTTAGTAGTTAGTCTTCTGTGATGGTGGGAAGCAAAAGGCTGTGCAGCCCTTGTCGTTGGTGTCCTGGCTGGTGGAACTTCAGAGCCATGACGATGTGTAGGGATGTCTCATCTTTTCACCACAAATGATCGGGGAAACCGTTTAATTGGCAGTAAGAGAAGCTCCAGCTGTTCCGGCAAACTGATGAAATTATCTCTTGCTGTTGCTCCAGGTGTTCCTCTGGGTCTGTCCGTCACCCTAGTGTTGACGCGGAAGTTCTGGACACAACTCATGTGATCAGTGTGATCAATGCCGCTTTATTAAAGGATACACAGCAATTTATAAACTACCATAAAGCACGCACGCAGCTACTTGGTTGCTAATAGGCTCAAGCTACTTGTCCACGCGCCCTTTTGCCCTCTGTGATCGGTCCCGTCGTGGTGTCCATGCGCAGTTCTTCTGTTAGGCAAACATCTTGTTTTCCACAGTCCAGCTTTCTTATCATTTTTGCAACGCACGCCGTTTCTCAGCCCCTTGGCCTTGCAGGTGTTCTTCACAACAGCTACAGCCTGTTGTTACAGCGGGGCCACTCGGTCTGGATCGCTCATAATATGCCCGTTGTTTTCCAGCCATTCCACACCCGAGAGCAACCTCTGACGGCCAGAGGGCGATGGGCAGAGGGGCAGTTTGGCCTCAGAGGGGTGAGGGACCTCCTCTCTACCTGGGTGCTGGTCTCACGACCAGGCCACCTCCTCATGCTCTCTCCTGTGCTCCGAATTTGCTCAAGCAAGCGGGATCCTTTGGCTCCTCTTACACCATCTCTCTGCTCCCGTGTTTTAGCTCACATACGAAAATTCCCTTCAAATTTTGATGCTTGCTTAGGGGTGCCAGCTGGAATTCAGCGTGGTTTTTTTTGTAGCACACAGCGATGTGGAGGTCAGCGAAACCTCAGCAGCTCAGTGCATGATCCTCCTGGCTTGAGTGTGAAAGCATTTCCTACCGCATTTCTTACTGCACCCCTCTAGTGTGCAGGGCTTCGGTCTTCGGCTCAGTTGATTTTACGTCTGTCGGTACCAACAGCTATAGCTCTGGAGGGAGAATTAGCAAGATATAAGGAAACCTGACACACGCAGGAAGATTTTTCTCCTCTCCTCAGTCTTGCATTTAATTTAAAATAAGTATTATTAACACCAGGGTCTCTTCAGTCTGTGAACAAATGACATTTTGGGAAGGAAGGAGCTGTGCGATCACTGAATAACCGTTTTGTCCATCTCTGCTGCGACTATGCACACGGAGGCATTTGTAAGCACTGAGAGTTTTAGTGAAATATTTGAATTGTATGTAATTTAATAAACATCCATTATATCCAGCAGAATCATGTGGATTTAGCAGTGGAAAATCTTGAATTTGGCCTTGTCCTTTTTTCTTTTGCAGTGGAGCGTTCAGTCATTGTGTTTGTCATGTGCTGGGGATGCCATCCTGCGTGGGATGTATTAGCACAGTCAGGAGGTTTCTGTTGATTTTTTTTTTTTTTTTTTTTTTTTGAGTGGGAATTGCAGTTATGCAACAGCTTTAGTTTTGCTGAACTTAATCTCTGATGACATGGAAAGGTTTCTTTCTGGCTAGGTTCAGAGGTTGATCTCTACCTGCCTCATGGGAATTGCAGCTCGGGGCCTCCGGCTGTTCCACTGTGAGTTGATGTTGTTGACATGGGTGAGTTGTGGCTCCTGGGCCGGTGTCACCCTCAGCACCGCCCGTGCCCGGGGTTGGTGTCCATCTGGTCTCCCCTTGGACTCCTGCGAGCGCTCCCGTCTCAGCCCAGTGAAGGTACCAGCTGGCTGTAAGCATTTTAAAAAGCTGAGCTTGGCTGCAGAGCTAACCTGGCTTATTTCATCAAAAATAAGTTGTAGAGGAAACCAACTGATGTGCAAAGATGTGCTGAATAGCTGGAAGTAATAACCTTACCTAGCAGATCTGGGAGGTACAAGAGGAGTCTGGCTCTGTGTTGGATGGGGCCTCTCACGGTCTACAGATCAAAATTTTCGGTTCTTTTTCACTGCACAAGACATGAACATTTAGTCCATGTGCCCAAAGTGAGATCAAAATATCAAGTTTTTTCCCCTTGGCCATGACGTGGGTACCCGGTTGGCTCTGACTCTCACGCTCTGAAAGCTGTTAAAAACATCTGTGAGCCAAATGGCTCAGAGAACACCAAGAAAGTTTTTTTTTTTTTTTTCTTTCTTTTTCCAAATTACCCACCTTTCTTCCCAGCCCTCAGCTCGCGCTGAGGCTAACGAGTGGTTTTGGGGGTGTGCAGAAGATATCCCAGAGAGGCAAGCCTGTGCACTCCTTTCCTCTATTTGTTGCGTGGGGCTCCGCAGGAAAAATGTTAAAGGTCTGTTGATAGAAGAAGGTTGAAAATGACTGAATATTTACACAGAAACTCAATCGCTGTCCATCTTCCCCACCGTTTTATTTCAATGCAAAGAGCCAATAACTGTGTGCAGTGATTGCAGCTATTGCTGAATTACATCGTTATTCATGACAGCCAGATTACAGGGCAGTAATTATAGCTGAGGTTGCTGTCATTTTGCTAGATTCTTAAGTACCAAGATCCCATAAGCGCTGGGGTTTTTTTGCTCATATGGCAATGTTTAGCTTTAGCTGGAGACACAGTTAAGTAGGGAGATTTCAAAGCGCATCCTAACTGCCAGGCAATCACAAGTGCAAAATCTCCTTGAAAATAAGGTGACAGCTGAATCTTTCTTTGTCTGGACTGAGCTTCTCCCATTATATTCTAGATGTTATTCTGAGAGCTGGCACAGGCTCTGAGGGGCATTAGCAATACCGAAATAGCACTGGGTTTGGCCATGTCCAAGTTGTTGGTTGAGGAGCCTCTTGGTATCTGGGTGATGGTGGAGGAGAAGGGCTGAGGACGGCTGGAGTGGGAGGCTGGGGAATTAATTCACTTTTGCTCACCAGGGGAGCTCACATCAGGAGGTTATCTTTTCTTATTAAAGACAGAAAATCTGCAGTGCAGAAAAGCACATTAAAAAAACGACTCTACGTTCTTATCCAAGGGGAATTTGGGCCTGAGACCAATGACTTGGGATGGCTACTTGAGCAGCAGGGAAGGGAGCTGCCTGGCTGGAAGGTTTAGTTGTAAAGGCCTGAGGTCTGGCTCCGTGGTACAAACCATTTCCTTGCTCAGCATCTGGGAGGTCACGGGTAAGCCCTGGTCTCAGGTTGGCTCCTGCACCTCGTGGGGGACAGGGACCTGCAGTGAGCACACAGAGCACCCCTGGGAGAGGTGGTCGTCACGCATGTCTCTGCCAGCATCGTTTTAGCACAGGAGCGCGTGTGGGTGTGTATGGATTCTGCCTGGGGGAGCACTGCTGGAGTGGATTTCTAATTATAGCTAATTGCAGGGTTGATACTCTCTGGATTTGGTCCGATACAAGTCAAATGATTTCCTGTTCAGCACTTTACAGACACGTACCCGGAGGCACCGAGATGGACGTGCTTTCTGAAGGCATCCAGCTGGCCAAACGCACTCTTCCCTTTCCTTTCTCTGCACCGACCTCGGTGGGGCAAAACACCCCAACTCTACCTCGATCTGTGGTCTTGGGTGATGTTAATGCTGTATTTTATTAAATAGTGTAGCGGTCCCTTGGGTTTAGCTAAGCTGAGGGCTCTCAGAAGGAGCAGGGTGGCTTGGCCATGAAGAGCCCTGGGCTCCTGGGGTCAGACCTTTTGGGTTCCCAAAAGCATCTTTCTCTGCAGAGCCTTGCAGCTGGTGCTGCGGATAGCACTTAGCATCAAACACTTAGGAAAGCTCTCTCACGCATATACTTTTTGAAAAATGGGAGCCAAATTAGCTTCACTGTGTTCCCTTGCAATGGGACTCGGTGCACTAATTGGTTAAATATTTACACAATGCTTTTTAAGTCAAATATTGCATATGTTCTAAATTTTTTTTCCCAAGTCGGGCATTAAATGAATACTTTAAAGCCCATTTTTAGTGTCCCCTAATGGGGAAATTAAAAGTGTTTGTAGCTAATATAGTCGTAACACTGTGCTGTCAAAGCTCCCAGGCAATAGAAGGGGAACTCATTATCCCAGGTACTGGGTACACAGAGACAGGGATCTCAAACACAGAAAGGATCAAAGTTAAACCAAGGCGTAAGAAGAAAATCAGCAGCTTCTTGAAAGGAAACAAGCAAGTTTGACTCCAAATGTAATTTTTATTTAAAAAAAACACAACCTTTGACTTTCACATAAGCCAGGATCCAGAGTGATTGTTTCATAGCCTTTAAGATATTTCAAACAACCAGTATTATTCTCTAGGAAAAAATGTCCCCTTCTCTCCCAGGCACCCTCTGCAAATTAAATCCACAGTCCTGAAAACCTGGAAGTAGTGCCAAGCATTTTAATCTTACCAAAAGTAAACAATGAGCACGAATTTACATAAAAATTGACTTTTAAAATTGTTTCAACGTTAACATTGTAAGTGACGCTGGAAGTGTATTATGTGACTTTGGGTCCGCTCAATGTTTTTTAAACGGATGCTGCCTTTACAACAGGTGCTGGTCATGTTTCTTTTCAGATGTTTGTAGGAAATTATGTGAGGGGAAAAAAAAAAAAAAAAGCTCTGTTTTAGGAAAAGCCCAAAGGAAAATGGAATGAAAAGGAGGAGATTCTCCGAGGACTGCTGAGTCTGGAAGTCTTCTGGAAGTCTTCCTGGCAGGATGCTTTCCAGTAGAGTGGGAAGGTTGGGTGCCTGGAGGATGCTCACGGTGGCAGCTGGGGCCTCCAGAGGTGAGCACGTGGTCCCGGAGGGGTGGCAGTTGCTGGCACTGATGGTCCCCAATATTTGCTTGCTGACTTTTCTTCATGCTGTTCTCTTCCTCAGCTCATTTTCCTCGTGTTGTCTGAGAAAGCCCTGGGAAGGAAAACAGCAGTAAAATTTGTTTGTGAGAGCAGGGAATGAATTAAAGAAGAGCCTTTTGTGGGAGAAGGGCCCTGGCAGTGAGAACGGCTGGAGCTCGGCTGGCCCTTGCCTGTGGACAAAGGCTGGCGTGTTGCTCCTTGAAAATAGCACTAAATTATCAAACCTCCAACCCTGTTCAGTTATTGGATGAAGTGTTTCTGCCTGGAGCGGAGAGCAGCTCATACGAGATGTTTTAATGGCTGCTTCAGATCTTAAAACCAATGAGTCCCTGAATTGCTATCCAAACCGAGAAAAACATCCTTGTAGCTACGCTGGCATTTACTGCGTAAAGATGTACTGAAGTATATCTAAGCACAGAGTCTGCATTATCAGACCTTTGGAGATTACTTTTATCTTCTTTCCTCTATTAAATACAGCTCAGCTCTACTGCCTTTCACACGAATAAAATTTGCTGGCTATTACTCCTCAGAATCATCCATTAAGTATTTTTAAAATGCTGCTCAGCCACGTGTTTGCCCCCGTGTTTGCGCTTAGATGGGATCACTGTTGTGTAATCCGCAGTGTTCCCTGGGCACGATGATTATTTTTTGGCTGATTTATGTAGGAAGTAACCTTCCCTGCTTCACCGCTCTGTACGTCTTTCAACAAATCTGAACAAATCTGATTCTCTTATCTTGAGCTGTGGAGTTTTGCCCTTGGCTGGAAGCATGGAGTGGGCAAGGTCAGAGAGAGGGAGATGGTCTCACCTGGTGATTTCTCTGGCTGGAGGTGCTGTTTGATGGCTGTGCAGGGTCGCTTTGCCCAGTTATCTCTGGAGAATTGTGGCTGGGTGATGCTGATGGAGTCGGGGGATCATCAGCACATGGATTTTGGCAGAGAAAGGGCAGGGTAGGGGGAGCAGTTCAACACCCCGCTGGAGGAAGGATGCTCTGCTCATCTCCTCCCGAGGAGAGCCCTCAGAGGGAGAAGGAACCACACGTACCCAGTGCTAAATGGCATATGACTCAAGCAAAAAAAAAAAAAAAAAAAAAAAAAAATCACACCTCTTTATTACATAGATTTATCTCACTGTGTCAGGGCCTGACAACCACCACCAGATGCTCATCTTCTCAGTTGCTTTATTGGATTCTGGGACATCCTCGTAATTGCCGTAAGTGGGATATGATTCCCCAGCATCTGGCATGTGTTAATACTGATTCAGAGTGCTTATCAATCCACTTACGGAAAGAGCATACATGCTCGGTGCAGTCAGAGGCAGCCTGGTAAATTCTAAAGCAGTATCATTTGATCCTATTTTTTTTTTTTTCCCTTGAATTGCTGCTGAGTGACTGAGTCCTTGCCACCGTTTGAACGTTTAAAGGTGGGGAGGCATTGCCCAGATATCATCCCCATGTCTGGTGATGGGTAAGACAGTGCTGCCCCATTTCCCCCAGCCTTGACCCAGGCTGTCTTCAGGAGCTGCTGAAATGCTATCTAAGCACAAGTTGCCCCTCAACTCATGAAAAATGTGTTTAGCTGCTTAGGCCCAACAGAAATCTCCCAATAAATTAAAGCTACTTCCGTTTTTTTTTTGTTTGTTTGTTTGTTTGTTTGTTTGTTTTAGGCTCAAACTGTTACCTGCTCCCTTTGAGGCTGGCTGCAGATATCGATGAGCACAGCTGCTTGGACACTTTTCAGCTGGGTGTGTTTTAGCAGAGGAGGGAGCACTGCTCGGAGGTCTACGGAGGCAGCAAAGTCTTAGGCAGGTGGGTTTCCCTGCTCAGCTCAGAGTGAAGAAAAGGGAGGAATAAAACCAGCTAAAAGCAGATATTTCACGAATTGCTCCAAAGGTGCTGTTTTCATTCCAGGTGGGAATGAAAACACTGAGTTTAGGGCAGATTTTACAATTTTTGTTCCCCACTTCCTTCCTCTGAGGATCCTGGCAGTGTTTGGTCAAATGAGAGTTGGCGTTGGCGTGCACGCAGCAGCGCTGGCAACCTCCCGTCTTCCAGGCAGAGCTCTGGAGGTTTTCGAGGGAGACGATGGTGCAAAAGGGTGTGTTTGGACAAGGGAATTAAATACTTCCCTGCATCACTCCTGGCTGAGGAATGCTGCTGGGTTTTTGAATAAGTATGGGAGGGCAGGGAAAAGGCATTCTTTGGGCTTGCGGGGCTCCAGCGCTGTCTAGACTTCATAATGCAACGGTGCACACCGCCCTGCCTTGAACTCCTGCCACGGCGTCTCTCCGCGCGTCCTATAAAAGGAAGCTGAGAAGCCTTCCCTCTGCCAAAGCCTCAGTCACACTAATGAGACCCTAGTTCCTGTCAAATTTGGCAATTTCTCCCACTAAACCGGTGAACTTGCAGCAGGTGGTAGCAAAGCTCGTTTCCTAAACCCACATCCCCCTGGAAACAGAAAACCACACCTGGCTTCCCATAGTGGGGCAACCGCATCTCCCTCCAGGCTCCCGGAGACGCCCGGGGATGGGGATGGATGTCCTGTGCAGGGAACTGCTCTGCGGAGGTGATCTTTGGACTGGCACCTCACACTTGAGTCAAAGAGCTGTCGAGTCGTCTTGGAAAAGTGACCCTTGCTGCTCAAAGCCCGTCCCGTTGAACACGGTGCTGTCTGTGAGAGGTTTTAGCCACCAAAAGCAATTTGTTCTTTAGATGTTTCTGTCCTGTCTGGCTCCACGAGTCTGCTGGTAGAGCTCAGCTGTGCAGAGTTGGTTTGGGTCACCCCTGGCATTTGGATGTATTTCCTTCTCCACCCTCTTTTCTCCTCTTTCTGGGATCAAGTTTCTTGCAGCTAAACATTCTCTTGTCTCTGTATTTCCCACTGAAGGCTGAAGCAGGGCTTGGCCCCCTCTGTTTTTCTAAATCCAGCCCAAGTAATGAGCATCTGCCAGGAGGCAGAGGTTTTCCCTAAGCCCGTGGTTTGAAGAACTCATTTTTTACAGCCTTGCTCCTCTCCGAGATGCATGCTGCCCACAAGGAGTGGGAAGGACGTCTCTAACCGCTGGATGCTGCCTCCTCCAAAGCACCCAGCAGTGTGTGGCCGTCAGCACGCCGCATCCTCGCTGCCTGGAGCAGCCCGGCCCGACGGGAACACGGCGCTGGCCAGACTCACTGCCTTTGCTCCAGCACCAAGTCAAAGCCTCCTGATTTCGCTCTCACTGGAGTTCTGGTACAACCTTTCCCACGGCATGTAGAATGGAGAAATGTCCTCCCTGCTTTTTAGGAGGTAAGGAAGTGACAGAGCTGAACAAAGCTGGGGGCGTGGGCTTGAGGCAGAAAATGTACCATCGTCTTCCAAGTGCCAATGACTCGCAGTCACCGAGACCTGGCACAGCGCTTCACCAGACTCACCTGGGAGGTTGCCTCACTGCACGCCCAGAGAACCATCGCTACTCCTATTAGCAGGAAAGGAGGATCTTGGCTGTATTTTAAAAGAGCCTGGAATTTCCCAGAGTTCTTTGTCGTTTGTGTGCTGGCAGTTTGGGGTGTCTGGGAAGACGCTCCTCGCAGACCATCAGCTTCCAGAGGTTAAGTCCCAAACAACACAGATCAGATCTGGGTTTCTTTGGGTGAGAATGGAGGCAGCTCAGGCCTTTTGTCATTCCGGTGCATGCTCCGGTACTCCATCCAAAGGCAGTGCATCCCTGTGCAAAACTGTTGGCTCTAACTGAACCGGCAGAAGTGAGATCTGTAAAATTCTACCTAGATCCCAGTAAGAGGTTCAGCCCCGATGTGAATTTGAATTTTGGATTAACGAAATTTTCAGACCACCTGAAGCTTCGGGTTTGTCGTATTTTTGCCTCTTGACTGACATCTCATACATGGGTTATGCATCGGGAACTGACGTGACCCATAAAGAAATCTTGTGGCTAAGGGAAAGGGCTAGACCAGCTTGTTACAGTGTCAGGTCTGTCTGTCCTGGGAAGGACGGAGGAGGTGCCTAGACTGAAGGATGGTCAGTTAGGGCCTTGCATCATGGATGAGCCTTCACTTCTTAATTTACATGCAGGGAAACGGGTGCAGAGAGCTTCTGTGCTAAACTCTGTAACAAATGCTGAGAAAACCTGCAAAGTCCTGCTCCCGTTTCCTGCTCTAAATCCCGCACAACGGACCCTGATATCCAGGGCTGGGAGCCAAACACTCTCAAGTCGATGGAAAGATTCCCCTTGACTTTAATGGTCTTTGCATGAGTGCCTAATTCCTTCCTGTTCACAGGCCCTCTTGGACCTGCTTATGGAAACAACTGCAGATATAAAGTGCTGCAGTGAACTGCAAACCCTTCAAAGCAGTGCGATGGCAGATTTTACTGTCCTCCCAGACAGCTGGAATGGGTTTTGTTTGACAAAAAGCCTGATATATGTTCTTCCAGCCAGCACCGTGGCTACAGTGTGAATGAGCGTTTTAACAAATATATTCATGCAGACAGGGTTTGTGGTCAGCCCGCTGGGTTTGGAGCCAAGCTCTTCCCAGCAGGATGGGGAAAGGCAGGGAGCCTGTGTCCGTGCTGGGCGAAGCTGAACCTCCACAGCTTTGACACGCCAGCATCTCTCAGAGCTGTGGTCTTGGGTCTTGCAGCTTCTAGGGACTGGTTCAATTCCCTGCCTGCAAAGACCATGTCACTGGTAGAGAACTAGAAGTTGCCCAGTTTTGTCAGCTCTTTGTGAAATGTTTTTGCTCCAGACCGTCCCACCTTGGGCAGGGCTGGTACCTAAAATAGATACCAGGAAGGTATCATCTACCATGAAGGACATGAGATGCCTTCTCAGCGATGCACTCGCTTACCCATAAAGATGTTACGAAGGCGCAGCCCCATTGCTGCGCTGAGCGCTCCCTGTCTGGACCGTCTTGTGCCATCAGCCCGCCCCATGCGGCAAACGGAGCTGAAGACATTTCCTTGGCCACCTCGGTGCTCGCTCCACAAAACTCCATTTGGCAAACGCTTAAAGAGGTGCTTAACTGTAAGGTCACAGATATATTTCACTGATTTCCACGGGGATTAGATAGTGAGTTTGGCTGGGGAGGGATTCTGGCCCATCGGGTGGGGCAGTGCCGTTGAGGGATACACGGGATTTCCTCCCTGGGACTATCAACTGGCGCCTCGGAGCGTGAGATCTACCGGCTCTGGGTGAATCACAGAAGGAGCAATAATAACAGGCAGATTATTTAGTCTTTATAAAGCCCACGGACTCTGAATATGACTGTTAGAGGAATAGCGACTTTCACAGAGGATCTGTCTGAACGTTTGAGAAGAGCAGAAAGTGTTTTCTCACACGGAAGGTTGCTCAGCTGACTCTCGGGGGAGAGGAAGGTGATGACGATTGCTGTTCCTTTCTCTATGCCCTAGAAACTTTCTAGATCTAGTTAAGGGTTTAGTTTGTTTTATTTTGCTGTTCAAAACTCTGGATGGGCTTTGCCATTTCTTTTTTCCGCGCACCCAAAGGCAACCGTGTGTCTGCACCCCCCATCCCCATACCCCTCACTCGTCGTATGCAGCGAGAATACGAATGTGACCCCGTTCCCAGCGTGGCCTTGATGGTTTGGGCACAAATCTGCACTCCTGGAGCCACGTTCTGCAAGAGGAACTGAGCCTTCACTTTCGCAGCTGTGCATTCCTGAGATGAAAAGTGCAGCTCAGGCCCAGGCTGTTTCGTAGCAGAAAATCAGACCTGGGCAATCTATGGAAAAGTTTGGCAGCTGCAGGAGCCGTCTGGCTGCTGGAAAAATCTGTAGTGAGCTCTGTCGGGGTCCCCTCCTGATGCCCTGATTTGGGGAGTGCTCCCCGTCAGATTTCTAAGATTTTGAATGCTTGCCCATCGGTCTCACTAGACATGTGGCTGTATGAAGACTCCCAGTTCCAAGACGCAGGAATTATAAAGTGCTGGCCTGGCTCTTTCGGAGGGATTATTTGCTTTTTAAACTCGCTGCCTGCAGCCGAGGCTGATCGTTCTGTTGCAGAGGAAAATAGGCAGCAGACTGAGACATGGATGAAGTAATGAGTTCATCTCTCTGCAGTCTAGCCAGGTACACATTTTTTTTTTTTTCTCCCAGAATTTAATTAAAATGCATACATCTTTCCTCACATTTTTATGAACCTCAATGGCAAATAATGGTCACTCTAATTACACCAACATTAACTTGTTTTCATGGCTGAAAAGGACAGATCCAAGGGCAGTATCGTTCTCCTGTGTTTGTTACTCTGGGATGTGCTATCCCCAGCAAGCAGCTAGAAACCCAAGTTTTGTAATCTAGGCCTGCACTCCCGTGGGCTGGATTATGCTGGTCCAAAAAACGGAGGATAAACTTGTCCAGTAGAAAATATACCCATCAGTCTGGGCTGGCTGATACATCCTTACACAGCTGATGCTCTTCCTGCTCTGTTTTCTAGCATTGGCATTGACTCCGTGGACCTTGTCCTCTCTGGGGTTTGGAGCTGCCCTGGCCATTGGTCATGGCTTGTTGCCTGCTCAGGGTCTTCTCCTGCCTGGAGTCCTCCTGGAGTCCCCAGGGCTCACTGAGGGAAGAGGAAAAATCCAAGCAAGTTTGATTGAAGAACGAGTGTAGTTTCTGTACCCAGCCACAAAACTGGTCATATTTAACCAGAGCAAAACCAAACAGGGGCCCTCCTGGTGCAGCAGAATAGTCTGTCGTACAAAGGAAACCACCAGCTCCAGATGATGGGAGGGATGTAAAGTTGTTGATGGAAACCAGCATGCTGTGACCCTATGGCCTTCCACTCCTCCGTGATTTCCAGACTACGATCAGCAGAGCCAGACCAGTTCTCATCCCAGTCCAGTTGACCACTGGCATCAGTAGGTGCTGGTGAGTGTGGCTGGGTGATGTGTCTCGTAGCAGGCTTCATGGAGCGCTGGTGCAGTCCCAGAAATGTCTTTGCGCTTCTTTGTGATATCTGTCCAAGCTGGTTGCATCCTGCGGGGTTATTGGTTATGAAATGGCTGGTTTTACGGTGACGTTTTTAAAATCGAGCTCTTCTTAATACGGAATTGTTTTTTTACTAGTATGAATTTTGAAGCATTGTGTTCTGCTTGAAATTGCTGCTGCTCTAACATGCCAAAGCTCAGGGCATTTTGTTCCATTTTCTCTCTAAACCTGACCAGTCCCATGAAGTCAAAAATCTAACCCGAAATCCTCACATTTCTCGAATTGCACTGCATGCATGAGAAATGAACACATTTAGACGTGTTGCCAGGGCGGCTGCACCATGAGAGAGGGTTATGCACTAGGAGAGAGCGTGCAAGTCCAGCATGACTCCACCAGTGGGTGGTTTGGGTCTCAGCCAAGGCAAGGAGGTTGGAAGGAAGCACGCGGCTTCGCTTGGGTGCTTTGTGGCTTGACCATCTGCAAGGAGGATGAACAGGCACCATCTCTCGCATCCACCCCCTCCAATTTAGGGCATGTCTTGAAAAAGGCAGCGGTAGGTGCTGTCTGTATAATAAATGGAATCTGGATGACAAATGGTGCATCTCTAGGGCTTTCCTTTGGAGACTCAGAAAGTTGGGGCTGGAGTGATGGGAACAGAAGAGGTCACTGCAAGACCAGCGGGTTCAAAGGGCTTAACTCAGCTGCCTGTTCTGGGGGCGAGTTAATCAGCTATAACACGTGAGGTCTGCAAGGCACGGTGATGAGCGGGAGCATACGGAGGGGGAAGGCCATATAGTTACAAGAGCGTTGGTGACAGCACAAAAATCCTTCTGGCAATGTGATTTATTAGGCTCCGATGATGTCTTTCATGCGAAGTGGCAGATGCCTCATCGTACACAACATCTAATGCAGGATGGGAGTGGTTTCTCGGTAGGAACCCGTTCTCTCTCTGCAAGGGAAGCACTGGGCAGGCTGGGCCAAGCTGGCGGCGCTGGTTTTGTGATTGCTGCAGCTCGCATCACGCTTGCAGTTGGAAAGGGAGTTTTTAAAATCAGATTTTTATTAGGCGCCTAATTGACTCATCATCCCTGCCCCCGCCCCATGCACGCACATTTGCTCTGCCCTGAAATGTGAGCTAAACGAGGCTGGCGAGAAATGTTTGCTGAATATAGCTGGGGAAAGAGGGGACTGAGGAGAGTGAAGGAGGAGTGAATTCACGCCATTTTTTAAAAATGAAGATTGTAAAAGACTAAAAAAAAACCAACCAAACCCACAAACCACCAACCCACCCATACAAAAAATAACAACAACAAAAAGAAGTTGTGGTTTCTTAAGCCAGTTTGCATTCCTGGAAGTTGATGACGCCCTGGATTACTGTCGGTTTTTTAGACCTCTCTCAAATTTTTTTAGGATAGTTTGTCTGTAGTGTGGGTATGTGTGGGTAGAGAACTGGGGAATATGCAGAGGGGAAAAAAAAAAAGCTAAAAATGGGCAGGAACAGGCTGACTGCATAGGTTGGATTTTTTTTCTTAAAAAAAAAAAAAAGCAAGCTCGAAGTTGTTAAAGATTTGGGTATGTGGGGGTGGAGCACAGGCATGGCAAAGGAAGTCGATCCTGAAGACCGCATCTAATACAGGATGTTTTGTGCTTCATTAAACACTGTGCCTCTTCGGCTACAGAAGAGCTCTGTCTCAGTTTGCAAAATAATCAGTCCAAACTTCTGATTTCTGTCACTTAGAAGCTGCCTTGCTCCGCAGAGAGGAGAAGAGATGCAGCCAAGGCCAGTGTGCTGGGAGCATGACAGTGCGGTGGTCTCGCGAGTCTTGGCGCCACCAGGAAATTTCTTTCTTGTTGCTGTCCAGCTTTGGTGAGAGATCTCATTTCTGCTTTTTTTTTTTTTTCTTAGAAAACAGTCATCTTCTTCAGGACGTAGGTCTCTTTTCTCCATGTTATTCATGCTTAGGCTGAGCTGAGCCTCACCAGTCTCAGGGTGAGGCTCAGGCACCAGGGATGCTGCTGCTTCACAGAAAATCCAAAAAAATGGAGAGTTAGCTCAGCTGGTCTCTCAGCAGGGCAGAGGGAAGGCGGGGTGTCAGAGGGCCAAGGTCTCCTCCCATTTACGTGAGTGTGTAACAGCCAGAGCGTGTTCTGGCTATTCTGTCGATTTCCTGATGGTTGCTCTGGATTTTTATTGCTTGCACTAAAGGAAGGGTCCGGTCTGTAGTTTGAACAGCTTAGAGGGAACGTAGAGGAAAAAAAAACCAGTTGTTGCATCAGTGTCTGAAGGAGAAATAACTCTGCCCTCTCTGCCAGGGTGTGTGATGGTTTCCTGGGGAGAACGGCTCCGTGCCGGCCGGGGCCTTGGCTCCCGCACCTGGCCGCTGTGCCCTGCCCGGAGGTGGCAGCTGTGAGGTGTGGGTGCTGTCACTGCCAGGTGAAAAACACCCCTTACATTTTCACTCCCAGCTCCTCTCCACCCTGAAAGCTCTGTAGACATGCCAAGATCACAGGTTTTATTTTTTCCTGTTACCAAAGCAGAGGCTGACGTACCCAGTAAGTGTATCCAACAGGTCTGTCCTTTGCTCGTTGCTCCTTTCCAATACAATGAGGCCTTATTCGAAAAGTTCAGCTTAGCTCTCTTTTTTTTTTTTTTTTTTTTTCCCCTCAGCTGGAAGCTTCCTTTTAAAACATTAATATCCATATTAATTTTTTTTTTCCCCCTAGCAGGTTAATTAATACTTGATTCATCACCTCAAAAGCTAATGGATATTTATCCAGATCATGAAGGAAATGAATGCCTTCTATAAATAACTGCCGCAACCCTCGCTAGCGCTCACTGACAACCCATCTTTATGCTCCTTCGGGAAACAAACTCTGCTCAGCTCTAGAGGAGCTAATCCTAACCTTTTCCCAGGTTTTGCACTGGCCTGGCTCAATGTTTTCCTACTTGAGCTTTACTTTACAAACATGGTGCCTTTTTTTCTGAGGGAAAAGGGCAGCGTTTGTGGAGAGAGACTCAGACAGCGTGGTGTAATCGCTCCAGCCTGGCCAGCAAAGGCCATTTGAGACTTTGGGTGTTTTCGTGGGCTGGGAGGTCTCTGGCCCTCTTCAAAACGTTGTTTAGTTTTGGCTATTGAAAAAAAAAAAATATTGGAGAGCCTTTTCCGAGTTCCCATCTGCTTCAAATAAATGGTGTTTATTGTCTTTGTCTCTAGCTCTCCAGCTATTGTCATCAGTGACCTTAATTAGGAGCATATTAAAAATCATGTCTAGTTTGTTGCTCACACGTGAAAAATTAAAAACTAATTATTTACTTTTACTGTTAACTTGCACATTCCTCCTGGGTTCTGCTCTGCATCTGAGAGCATCTGACTGCTCGCTGGAGAAGAACATCCTTGTTGTCCATACAGCCTGCAAGGGCAGAAATAATTGGATGGGTACCAGGAAGCTGGACAAGGGGACTGAGGGGCACAGAGCTCTGTGTGGGTGCGGGAAGCCAACCAAAGCACAACCTGTTTTAAAGTTGTTCCTTGGCTTTTCCCACAACCCTGCCCATTGCTCGCTGCTGCCTGTGGTGGGTCTACACCAGGTCTCATGTCCTGCATCTCTTACCAGTCAAAAGCTGCTCTCATGTCTCCAAAGGGGCTGGGGGCTGCCAAGAGCTCTACGTGTTCATCCAGACCAAGGCTGGAAAATATGGATGATGTCATTCCTAGGCTTCTGACCTCACTGCAGTAAAACCCAGTGAACAGCTTGCCTCGGGTTCTGCAGGGAGGACTTTTTGTCACTTCGGCAATGACACTTGTTTTGAGGCAGGGTAAGGAGAACCAAATGAGCTTGCTCCTTCGTGTTGCTCAGTCTCTTGGTTTTCATCGTTAAGTGATGCAATTTGTAAAGCTGCCTCCAGGAAGCACCAGCCTCTGGAGTCGCACAATTGTGTAAAAATCTCAGCTTTTGTTCATTTTCCTGTCCCTCATGAAAATGAGATCTGAAAGCTTCAAGCACAAAGGAGCAGCTAGACATTTTCTATGATCGTTTTAAAAATCCATGCCACTTAAGATGAACTTATGTTTTTTTCTTTTTTTTTCTTTTTTTTTTTTTTCCAGGGACATTGGCTCATGCATTTTTAATTCTTGAGCTTGGCAGCACTGGATGAATTAGAAACAGAAAAACTGATTTTAATGAGTGTAAGATTAATGCAGATGAGTTTGGCTGAAACCGCAATCCAGCTGAGGAGGGAGGATTTTCTCACTTCACCTACCAGCTCTCTCCTCGGTGGGCTGTTACGTTGCAAGCATTACTGTAGCAGAGCAAATTCTCATCACTCGTCATTACCTGGAAGAGAGATGCTCGTTAAACAGCTTGGTTCATACAGAAAATCTTGCACGTTAACCCTTGGTGGCTGCCCTGGACCCTCGACGGCCTTGCAAGGTGGGCTGCGGCTCTTGAGCGTGCAAGTGGGGAAGAAGGAGGGTGTGGATGGATGTGAACTGATGGAGGAGAAACGTCCCTTGGCTCTGGGCCAGCCTCTGCTGGGTGGGAAGGAGAAGACTTTGGGTTGTTGCGTGGAGCCGCCACAGCTCCGAGCAAGGTCATGGTCTACACCTGGTGCCTATCCCTTGGTGGAGAGCTGTTATTTGTTTGATAAAGTGTTTAGCACTCTGGGTCGTACAGCTCGCGGTTACCAATACGAGGGAACTGGTGCCCAACAACACCCCTGCACTGGGCAGAGCTCTCCTGCTGCCCCGAGTAACCTTTTAGCTCAATGACTTGCTTTCCTACACACCTGAAATTAGATATTTGTATAGTGAGTGGTTTTATTACCTGAGCAATAAGGAAAGATGGGGGAGGCTGAGCTGAACTAATTTTATTTGATTCTGTGGGCAACTGGCAGTTTTATCTCTCTGGTTTATTTTTTTATATGTTTTAATCGGATAGTGCTTCCCGAGATCGCATCGCTGCAGGTTTTGCCTGCTTGGGCTGTTGAGTAAAAGTGGCAGGAGAATTCATGAGCGGCATGTGATGAACCATAAATAATGAGCAGTCTCCCAGGAAAGCATCAGGGGACCACAGAGGAGAACTCTGGCCTGGCAGCTGGTGAGATCACCCGGCAACTCGTGCCCAGGGACCCCCTGCCTGACTGTGGCTAAGCCACCGTGGTCTGCTTCAATATCCCACCCTCAGAGCGGAAGGAGGAGCCGTGCAAGATGTGTTAGCAGTCCCCAACCCAAAGGTTTCTTGGTGTGTGCATCACCCTTTGCATCCTCTGGGGATTAAAAGATGGGACAGGCTGCTCAGCAAAGCGGTGGGACCGCAGAGGCAGACGGTGAGGGCGTTATTGCGGGTCTGTTTTGCAGATCTCGGGGATCTAGTAGGGAAATCTGTGAGGGCAAAGGGGTGCCTGGGATGAAAGGCAGGACACCCTAAAAGACAGCATCCAAAATAACAGCACGCTTGCTTGCTCCTCCCAGGTGCTGGAGGGCCAAGGATGTCTGCGCTGGGGCTGGGGAACGCAGAGGCGTGGGGCTGCCCTAAAGTGGGAGGCACTTTTCTGGAAGCTTATCCGGAACTTTTAAAGGATTTTTTGGGTTTTTTTCAGCTTCAAAACCTGTACATTCTAAAGCGAAATTCCTCACGTTGTTAGCATCACTTTCAACCAGCAGCAATCATTAGATCCTGAGCCTGTTGCCAGCGGCAGCACCAGTGATTTACCTTGTTTGCTGCAAGGCTAAAGGATGAGACAGTTTCTCCCTTTGCTGAGCTTCCCACATTGCCTCCTTGCTCACGAAGAAGCAAAATTCCTTACCAAAAATTGGGCTGCCACCACATCAGGAGACTGCCAACAACCGCCTCCAGGTGCGGCTGTCTTGGAACGCGTTTGAAAACCCGCCCTGAATGCATTTCTCCTCCTCTGCATTTTCCCCAATACATTCCCCCCCCCTCCAGCCCCCAGCCTGAGCTCCTGGTGCTGGTTTCCAGGGATGGCCACCCTCTGCGACTGGCCCAGTGGCCAGCAGCATGTCCCGTGCCAGAGCAACCTGTCCTCATCCTGCCAAGGTGCTTCGTTTGCTGCACTCACTTTTGTTCCTCTGCTAACCCCATCGTGCTGCTCCTATTTTTAATACCAAGGGCTAAAGCCGCCTCTCTGCTGCGTCTCGCATGCGTTGCGAGCGGCACAAGGTATTAAGCTGAGCGTGTCTGTGTTTAGCACCTGCCAGGCGGCTCCCGGCGAGGAATCCATCGGCTCTGCTGTGTTGCCAGCCCCAAATGACAACGTTTTTTCTTCCTCTGTGGGAGATGTCTTCTGAACTGGCTGAAATGACAGCGCCAGATTCTCCCTGTGTGACAGGAGGTTGGTGGTTTTGGGTTTTTTTGGTTGCACCAAAAAGCAGCCTCTGAAGTGGATTTAATTAATCCCGGTGCTAGAAAAAAAAGGAGGAGGAGATGCAAATGCTGTCGTGTCCTGGCCTCCAACCTGGTTTGGTTTGGTGCAGGCAGCACTGAGCTGCAGCTTAAGGGGACCCACCCCCCCC